GTATCAACAATAACATTTATGTCATACATTGTACAAAAATAAAATTGTAATATATGATATATGTGGAGTGCTTTATTTAGATATTAAGATAGAAATTTTTAGAGGTTATATTTTTTCTTATTTTTTATTTAAAAAAATCGTATATAGCGGCAAACTAATAAATCAAATTAAATGTTATAGCCACACTTTGATTTAATTGTACCCCGTAGTGAACTGTTTGTATAAAGCAAGAGATAATCGTATATATACATATATTTTTGTTCCCTTCTCCCATATCTCGTTCGCCACTCTCCCAGATCCCACTCGTCATCCTCGCCTTTCTCGCTTATACAAATAGAAGCGGAATGTATAAATTGTGTGTTTATTTGTATAAAGCGAGAGAAAATTATATATACACATGCAAATACATGTATCTTTGTCCTATACATTTATAATTATATAATACAAATATTTCCCTGCCTAATTTTCTTTTGTCTTTCTCGCTTTTTCGTTTTATATATACACAAATTATAAAATTGTTCTTCTGTTTACAACTGCTTTCTTTTGTATATATATAAAGAATTATACAACTGATTTCTTTGTATATGTATAACGAATTATACAACTGTTTTTTATATGTATAGCGAAATATACATATTTATGTTTGTTATAAAGCGCAATTATGCAAAGACAGAAGTCATCGGTGGCCCCTATGACACAATCTTTCGCTTAGACACTTCAACTAAAGGATTTTCATTTTAAACACTCAATAGGGTCCCTATGTGTTACTTTAACACTTTTTGCACAGATTCCTCTAGACCATAGGCGCGTGCAACATAACCCGTTCTACATGGATTAACTCACCAATTATATGATGCCAACTCTTAAACTTGTTTACACGTAATTTTTATTTAAAATATTAGATAAATTAAATTGTCGGTAAAATACAAATTAAATCGATTATACTTTCACGTTTTCTTTCATCTTTCTTCTTCCATATGGTTCTACCTTTCTTCTTAGATGAAAACCCAAGGTAAATGTATTTTCCCTTCACAGAATTTGTTTTGTTTTTCATTCCCGTCGTTGTTAGTAATAACCATTATCGTATTTTGTGTCTCCATTTTCAAGTTTAAGGTTGTATTGACAAGGTATCGAGTTGTGCGAAGTTGGAGAAACTGAAAAAGGTATATTTTGTTTTTTACCTCTTTTTTGCCTTTATTCTCTTGAATAAGGTGTATTTTGTTGTTGATTCTGCTTTATTTTCATTTTTAATCTACGTTTTGGTCTAACTAGTGTTGATAAACTAAGGGGCATTTTGGGTATTTACTTTTGTTGGGGTTGGTCTCCTTGTCGGGATATGAAAAATTATATTTTAACTTGTTTTTATCATTGGGGGGGGGGGGTGTTGTTTCAAACCCTAAACCTACTTACCAAGGAAAAGTAGATTTATATGGTGTCGGCATAGATAAAGACCATTATAGTCTTCTCGAGTTTCTTTCCTACACTAAAGACCTTGAGTATACAAATGTTAAGGTATTTTACTGTGAAGATGGTAATGAATTAATTCAAGTTACTTTTGATACTCAATTGTTAGGATTTGTGAAAGATTTGGTAGATGATGATGAGTTTCATGTGTATGTGATCCATGAAGTTAATGAATTAGAAGAATTACCAGCTCCGTCTTCTCTTTTACCATTGTCTGATCCTGTTGATGAATTTGTGGAACAAATGCTGAGGGGACTGTGGATAATGATTCAAATTTAAATGGAGGTGATATAAATCATAATAAAGCTGAATCAAATCTGCTTAGTAGTGACTCAAATGTAAATGAAATTCCAGATGAAGATGATTCAGATGTTGATGAAGAATTGAGATCCCTTAGGGCTGAAAGGGAAATCAAAAGAAATCCTAATCTTAGGAAGAATAAAACAGTAACTGAAGAAGAACCAATAGGTGAGACAGGTGTGAACAGAGGCTTTGAAGATATTGAATCAAATAAGAAGGATAGATATGTTGGCAGATTGGGAGGAGATGAGAAGTACATTGGTAACTCAGAATGTGATAGTGATTATATCACTGATATTGTAGATGCAAAAGTTGTTGGAGGTGTTGATCTACCAGACAGAAGAAAGAGCAAAAAGGTCTGGTGTGATGATGAATGTAGTGTTGCTATTTTTCAACTTGGAATGATTTTTGAGAATGCTAAGAAATTTAGAAATTCTCTAGCTAAATATGTTGTTGAAAAATATTATCAGATCAAGTTGAGGCCTAATGAAGCTCATAGAGTGAGAGTTAATTGTAAATTCAAAGAAAAATGCAAATAATTGTGCTATGGTGCTATTGATAGGGATTCTGATAACTATATGATTAAGAATTATCATCCTATATACAAATGTTACCATCTAATAAGAATAAAATGTGTACAACTAAGTTCCTAACAAGTAGATTCAAGGATGAAATAACTAAACAACAATCTTTGAGGATTTGGGACATACAAGAATAGTGCAGGGAGGGGTTAGGACTTCATGAAGAACAATTTGTTACAAGGCACAAGTAATGATTCTTAGAGAAAACATCAGTGACTGAAATATGAAATTTGCAAGGTTATGTGATTATGCCGAAGTTATAAAGAAAGCTATTTTGGTAGTTCTATTTGGATAAGAATTGATAGAGAAACTGTATCAGAAAATAATTTGTTTGTGTACTTCTATGTATACTTGGATACATTAAAGAAGGGGTGGAAGGAAGGATGTAGAAGAATAATATGATTTGATGGATGTTTCTTAAAGGGTGCTTGTAAGGGTGTACTTCTTCTAGTAGTTGAAAGGAATGGAAATAATCAGATGTTTTCTATAGCTTGGGCAGTTGTGGACAATGAAACTAAACATAGCTGGAGCTTCTTTATCAACTACTTGAAAGATGACCTGCAGTTGGATACTAGACAGAGTATTACTGTAATAACAGACATGCAGAAGGTAATTAATTGTCTATTACTTTAATAATTGTAGAGATGTAAAATGTATTTCTTTCTTGAGTTGTATTGAATTGTATTTTATTGTAGGATTTTCAAGGAGCTGTTGTTGAACTGCTACCAAATGCTGAAGTTAGAATGTATGCTAGACACATCTGATCTAACTGGGTAAAATATGAAAGGGAGAGGAAAGAAGAAAATAATTTTGGAGATGTTCCAAGGCAACTTTTGAAGTGAAGTACAATAAGGAGCTTTACAAAATGAGCAAACTTGGTAATGAAAACATTAATGAAGATTTATTGCATTAACCAAGAGTGTCATGGGTTAGAAAATTCTTTCAAGAGCACTCCGAATATGATGCAGTTGAAAATAACATGTCTGAAACCTTTAACTCATGGATATTATCTTGTAGACACAACTCTACAATAACCATGTTGAAGGAAATTAGGAGAAAATTAATGACTAAAACTGTAGATATGGTTAAGTTTGCTGACATTTGAATGTGTGATATTGCACCTATGGCTAGACTTATGTTGGAGGATAATAAAGAAAAGTCTAGGGCATGCAAGGTGCTTTGGAATGCTGATGTTGGGTTTGAGATTCAAGAAGGACAATATAGGCATGCAGTCAACTTGACTGATAGAGTTTGTAGTTGTTGAACTTGGCAGTTGAGAGGCATTCCATGCCAACATGTTATTTCTGTTTTGTACCACATAGAACATGAACTTGAACCACTTGTAGAGTATTGGTATAGGAAGGATACCTTCTTAAAGGCTTATAGTAATTTCATTCAATCAATTTCAAATATGAAGATGTGGCTTGAAACTAACAATCCAAGGATTGAGCCTCCTGAACCTAAACAACCGCCTGGTAGACCTCCAAGAAATAGAAGAAAGAGTAAAGATGAACCAAGAAAGAAGTATGAAAAAATGTCCTGCAAGGTAAAATAATTTATTATTGTTTGTGCCTTTTTTTAAAGTCTTCTTGAATGTTATGAACAAACTTTATGTTTTATATTTAGGTTGGTGTCCATACTTCACAACCAGCTAAACACAATTCACAATTTAATGCTGGTCAAAGTTCACAAGGAAGTAGCCATCTTGAACAAACAAGCTCCTACCAACCTGGACCAACAACATCAAATAATCATGTTTCTTCAACAATAGTTTGTGGTGATACCAATATAGTTAAAAGGGCAAGAAAAAACTACAAAAACAAGCCAACCACCACCAATTGGGAATACAAGTGTTCCTGTTATAGGAGGAATAATTTGTCAAATACCTCCAAGGACAAGACAAACTTCTGGACAAAAAAGAGAAAATGTTGAAACCGGAGAAGATTTTGCAAGAGGGGGACCAAAGAGGCAGACTAAAAATGGATCAAGTAATGTTGGATTTGGCATCTACACAAGTGCAAATGGAACCCAAATACTAAATAAGTTTGTCACTAACTATCTCTTAAATGAATAAAAGTTTATATATTAATTTTGATTTGTTCTTCAAAAATATCCTGGGACTTCAAGTCAAAGGATTCTACCAACAGGTTCAAGTTACAAGGATGCAAGTTTAACAAGTATAGACAGTGGCTTTAAGCCTAGAGGCTTGAGATGGAAAAATAAGGATGTTGTCACCACATCTCAATTGCAACAAATGAGTTGTCGTATGTTTTTTGAGTATGCTAGCTTTATTTTGGTACTAGTAAACACTTTTGTGAAGGTTGTATGTAGTTTTTGTTTATGCTAGCTTTATTTTAGGAATTTATTTCGATACACTTTTTTTTGAAGGTTGTAGCTTTGAATATTATGTAACATAATGCTAACTTTGAGTTCATTATGGAACATTCATATAACTGTCTACGTATTGTTTAATTTGGGTGTTACACTATGACGAATATGACCAATTGTTTATAGCCAGAGCATTTTCTTTTGGTGCTACTTTGTATATGGCCAAAAATCAATTTTACAGTAACAACATCAAAATACTACTAAAACTTAGAATTTTGTTGAATTCAAAATGCACAATTACATCAAAAATTTACAGCAACAACAACATCAAAATACTACTAGATTGATTCCCAAATACAACATCATAATAGTTCTAGACAGAAAACCTCAAAAACACTAACAATTAGGCTTTAATTTCCATATTTCAAACATAAGCAACCAGTACGACAACACCAATAAATATATTTCTTGCTCGCTTTTGATTTTCCATTAAAAGCATTTATTCTTTTCAACAATCCCCACATTACCTTGTTTGCTTGTGGAGGGTGTCGATCTTCATACCAAAGAAAATAGTCATAACCACTCATTTTCTATAAAATCATCAAAAAGAATTAGACGCAAACAATTAATCATCTAATTGACTTGAAAAAAAGTAAGGGAAACAAGAATTTTACCTTTGAAATTCTACAAGTAAAAAATCTACGACCTGGATTTATTTGGGTCCATGAAGTCTTTAATAGCGTCATTACCACACCCACAATATCAACCTTCATCCACAGATGCCATGGAAGAATTAGAGAAGCTTGACATGAAAGGCCGAAGAAGAGAGAAATTGGAAAAGAAGAAAGAAATTGAGATTTTAATTAGGGTATAATTGGTATAAAATCAAATATAAATAGATGAAGTAGAGTAATATTACTGTTGGGGACGCCACATCAGACAAAATTTTGATATTTACGCGCCTTGCATCAGTGAAAATCACGCGACACTCCAGCCGTGCAAAAAGTGTTAAAGTAACACATAGAAACCCTACATTAAGTGTTTAAAATGAAAATTTTTTAGTTGAGGTGTCTAAGTGAAAGATCGTGTCAAGTTTAGGGGGCTATCGATGGGTTAGGCCCTTATGCAAAGTAAGTTTAACATACAAATATAATTTTTATGTTTGTTATATGTGAAAGTTACTCTTTTTTATTTGGTCCTCCTCAATCAATCGAGTATTGATTTATTTTTTCTAGACAATAAAATAGTCTACAGACCAAATATTCTTTAAAAAATAATACAATTACTCATCTAATTTCTCAATTTGATAATATCAACAACATCAAACAATCCCCTAATTTTAGCTCTTGTTTCTCTAGATTTTCTTTTATCTAGTGTGATTTATAAATTATAAAGTACATTATATTTGTATCATATTTCTGTACATAATTTCTTAACAAATGCTTTCACTTTTGATATTTACTTATTTGGTAATTACCGTACAATAAAATCAAATAATCAATACAATAATACATAAAAATACGATTTTATCCTAATTTTTTGTCCTAAAAAGACGATTTTTCCAAAATCTCACAATAATATATGAAAAAAAAAATCCTTTTAAAGAAAAATTATTTAAAAAAAGAAGAAGAAGAAAATAGATGGCAAGACAATTAACATATTTTTCCAAAATGCTTACAAAAATATATGAAATAAAAGAAAATACCCTTAAAGAAAAATAAATAAAAAAGAAAATAGATGGCAAGACAATTAACATAGCAGAAAAAGCATGTAGACTGGTAGAAGGCTAAAAAATGTGAATTATATTTATACAAATAGATTTGTTGAAATCCAGAAAAGGTTAAAATATGAAACATTAAGAATCACTTTGTCTTTCTTCCCTCCCTTCTCTTGTTCTTATATATATACGTTTTGTTTTGTTCATTCACTTTGTATCACAACGCCCAAAAACTCTTCTTTTTCAGTCTTTTTTCGTGATGGGGTTGCCCAATTCTAAACCTTCTTCATACAAAGCCCCATTCTTGGTTTAATTTCATTCTTCAGATTTGCTAATCTTGATTTTTGGTTCTTGATTGAAAGTTGAAAACTTTATTAGTTTTGGGGTTGTTTCTAGGGTTTTTCTTTACTTGTTCAAATGGAATTTACCAAAATTTTGAGTATTTGTTTTCAGTTTGGAATCAGCATTTGCTCAATTGGATGGTTTTGGGATAACCCCTTTTGATTTCTTGGATTAAAGATTGAAACTTTGTTCGAATTATTTGTTTCCATCAGTTGTTTTTCTTGGTTTGTTGTTGTTTTTAGGTTCTGAATTGATTTCGTCAACTTTTTTGGTGAAGAGGGAAGGTAGGATGAATAGTATTTTGAATGAACAAACTCTTACAGACAAGCTTTCAAAGCTTAACACCACTCAGCAGTGCATTGAAAGTAAGAATCTTTCTTCTTTTTTTGTTGCTGTTTTCCCTTTTTTTTTCTTTTCTTTGTTTTTGGAATTTGCTATGTTTACCCCATTAATGGAAATGTTTGTTGGAAGTCAGTTTCTGATGTCTCTTTTAGATCTTGGTTGTTGTTTCATAGTGAATTGACAGAATTGAGTAAGGACTTGTACCTTCAGTTGAATCTGACTAGTACTTGTAGTGGTTCATACAGAATTTTGTATGGGGAATAGATGGTCTATCAATCTTCCCTATTTAGATTAGTTTTTGATCTACTAATCTTAGTGTCGACAGATGGTGTTTGATTTGTGTGTTTACTTGTAAATGTATACTAAATTTACTTGATTGTCTTATTTTTCCGTATTGAGAATCAACTTGGCCAGGTTGTGGAGTTCAATTGTATTTAGATAATGTAGACCTAAACAATAAAGAACTACTGCAAGTTGGATATGTTTTATTCCATAAGAATGATTTTTCTTTTTTCTTTTTGGAAAATTGTTACTCAAATATCCTTTAGTTTAACTTTGAAGAAGTAACTAAGATACCAATTTAGCACTAAGGATGTACGTTTTAGGAAAAAAGTGAAGATGGAAAATTCCTGCCCTTTCATTCTCTATGTTTGATCTGGAAAGAAGTAATGTTAGTGCTGCATACGTACATCTCATGTTTGCCAGTGTCCATTGATATCAGTGGCATTTGCTTTCCCTAACTGACATTGATGTGTGCTTCATTTACTTCAATCATGCTGAGATTTGCTTCAGCTTGTATTTTGTTCTTGTCAAGCTCCACATTTTAAAACATTAACCAAAGTGTAGCTAAGAAGATACTTGTTTCTGCATCATTTGTTGATATAGTTTGGATGTGTATAAATGAAAACTCAAGACTTGGTATAATCTGAATGATGATTAATTAGGAATTGTTGAGATGTGAACTAGTTAACTTGGATGCCACCATATTAAAAAGAAAAGAGGGGTGACTATCCCTATTAACTGTTTCTTTTTTGGTCATTATCGTTGTACATAGCCTTGAACCTTACTTTTGGCTATCTAGGTGCATTTTCTGTATACATACATCAAGTACTTTTATGTACTCTATGGTATTTTGGCATTTGCAAGTTTAAGTGATCTCATTCAATCTTTTAGGGAAGTTTTCATTGTATTTCTTAACTCTTAGGGGTAACTGCTTGTTACTTTTCATACCAACTCTCATCTTTCCTTTACAAATTAACTGATTCCCACCTCCCCTCCGTATAAAGAAAAACAATTCATTCCTCTCTCCTGCTCCCTCTTGTTAGAATAAGATTGCATTTCTCCTATCTGAGGTCCACAAGTAGATTAAAGTAGAAGGTTGGGTCTTCAAACCTACTTTTAACTTACAAACAAATGGAGCTGATCTTTAACTCCTCTTATCCAAATTTATATGACATACTTCTTTAGCCTATCCCAGTAAAAGAATGTCATGCTTTCTTATTTTGTAACAATTTATCTTTAAATTTCTCATTTTACCTAATGAGATGATTTATAGCCACACAAATGTTTGGTTTGTTTTAGACTATAAGTTTTAAAAGTATTTCTCTTTTTATTAAACTATGTGCCCAGTCAAACACTACTGCATAAATCGGGGCGGAGGGAGTAGTAAATTTGTCTATACTGATGATTTCTATGTATATTTAAATTTTGGGGCTTATATATGAAGTTCAAGTCTTCTCACTTGCAGTTTGAACTCTTCTTGCTCTCATTTGTGGAATGCACAACTAGCAAACTAAACCAAAAGGGCTTATCTTTCCATTCACATGTGTTAGTACATAGCAGATAATGTCTCCCTTTTGTCTTGTTCTCTACCATCTTATGGCTTTTCTGTTTTCATTTTCCTTCTATAAATAAATTCTTAGTTGCATATTGGCTGTGAGCCTTATAAGATGATTACTTGGAGTGATACCTGGGAACATTTATTTTGCTTCTCTATGTGGTACTTTGCATCCCAATTCATACTTTTTTTCCTTTAACATTGTTTGTCTTGGTTTTTAATGCAGCATTGTCCCATTGGTGCATTTTCCACCAAGATAAAGCAGAGCTGGTTGTTACAACATGGGGTAAACAGTTCCACAGTTCCGAAATGACTAAGAAAGTCCCTTTACTGTACCTTGCAAATGACATCCTGCAAAACAGCAAGCGTAAAGGAAATGAGTTTGTCATCGAATTTTGGAAGGTTCTTCCTGCAGCACTCAAGGAGATTGTCGGAACAGGCGATGAACATGGAAAGAATGTAGTTTCCAGATTGGTATGCTTCTTGCCATTTTGCTTCTGAACGTTTGGCCCCAATACCCTAGCTTATGTAGGTACAGGGCCACAGCACAAAAGGCAAAATTTCAGCCTACTTTTGCTCTTGTTTTTCAGTGTCTGATCAACCTGTTGCTCGGAAATTATTGAGATAGTTTGACTGTCTGTTTCGGTTAAAAAAAAAGAAGATATAGTGTTTGACACTCTTGCTTAAATGGTTTGTAGGTTAAAATATGGGAAGAAAGGAAGGTTTTTGGATCTCAAACACAGAGCCTAAAAGATGTAATGCTTGGAGAAGAGCTGCCACCACCACTGGAGCTTGGAAAAAAGCGAAGTCGTTCTGTCAAAATAGTTAAAAGGGACACGCGGTCCATAAGAACGGTGAGCATCGGTCCAAAACGGTGACATGTTCCTCATAATGCACTTTTGTTTGTATCCACTGATTACTTAATTGCTTTATCTTGCTTCCAGTATTACTTCTTGTTCTTAACACTGCTTTATAACCAGAAATTGACTGTTGGAGGAACAGCTGAAAAAATAGTGTCAGCATTGCACTTGGTAGTCAGTGAGCATTCTACTGAAGATGAAGAAATGAGTAAATGCAAGTCTGCTGTTCACCATGTACGAAAGATGGAAAAGGATGTTGACGTGGCCCTTGCAAGAGGTAATCTAGTTCTCTATTGGAATGCAAAATTAATACGTCTGCATGGATTGCACATTATGTTGACAATCACTTAGTACACCTCAGTATCTATTAAAAAGGGTGGATGATGAAGATATACTGAAGCCTGTGATTTAGTGATATTCAATTACCGAAAGAACAATTATTGATTCTCAATCCAGGAGAGTGAAAAAACATCATTTTTGCATAACTTTCACAGATAAAAAAAGGAATTATGTCATGCCTCCTAGGGGATCTGGTGTTTGAGGTAATAGGTGTAACAGCATGGAGAGTTCGGGTTCGAATATCAGCTGGCATACTTGGTTGGCACCTATCTGCCCCAGCCTATTGGACAGGATACCATAGAAACCTGTACTTTCCTGTTGTATAGGCAAGTTGGCCCGAACACCAATGAGATTAATGGAATTACACGGCTGAGATCTTGACAGAATGATAGATAGACATCTCTTTATGGTCTTTTTTCCCAAACTTTGTTACTTAGAAATCACAATTGGGGATTAAGAGCATATTATCTTGTGTTGCAGCAAAACATCCAATGCGAAAAACCTTGT